GTCGGTCAGCGTCGGCCACGTGAGGTCAGTTTTGACCGTCGTTATGGAGCTTTGCCCGCCCCTCTGCGCTAACGCTTCTTTCAGCGCTTCAGTTTGGGCGGCGAGTGCGGCGGCGAAATCGCCCGCCGGGTTTTGGGACCCGGTCTGCGAACCTCCGCCGTCTGAACCTCGCTTCAGGGCTTCTATCTCCATCTCCAGCGCCGCGAGCTTTGCGCGCAAAGGGGAATCGCCGTCCGTCGCGCCCAGGTCACGGGCCGCGGAAGGACCACCTGCAACCTCGGCAGTGTGCAAACCTCCACGGTCCAAACCTACCCCCAACCCACTTGCAGTCGCAGGCTGTGGGAGCCCTGGGGAACGCGGCCCCACGGCTTCGACTGGCACATCGGACGGGGAGCTCCAAACCTTCTCTTGGCTCGAGCTTTCTTTTCCCCCTAGCGCGAGGATAAGCTCCCCGATGCATTGGATTTCACGCTGAATCTCCTCTGCGTCTTCGGGGTCCTCGCCACCGCGCAAAGCCGCGACCGAGAACCTGGTCCGCAGCCGACGGACCATCTTTGTCGGATGCCAGTCCCCGCCGATCTTCGAGAACTCATCCGCAAGGAGGGTGGCTTTGGTGCTCAAGGCGTCAAGGTCACGGGAGCTCACCGTGACTCCATGCGCTTTGAGCGCGAGGACAATCCGCGAAACGCGCGTCAAGTAGTCCGCGACCGGTTCCTGGTCTGGACGGAAAATCGCGCGCAGCTCCGCCTGCAAGCCCTCTGCGGTGCCTGGCACTGAACCTGCTGTCGACGGCGGACCGGACGGTCCCGCCGGGCGGGACCCTGGTGCCGTAGCAGGGACATAGGCAGCACCGGTAGGGACCATGGCCAGCTCCCTAGCCGCGGCGCTGACGTCCACCCGCGGCGGACTGTCGCCTCCAGCGCCCGAGGCCTCAGGGACTAGCTCCGAGTCCTCTTCTTCTTCCTCTTCCTCCTCGTCCTCGCCTTCGGCGTCGTGGAGGAACTTCATGACCTTTCGCCAGAGAGCCGCCTCCTGCTCTGGCGTTGTGCTAACCCCATCCCGCTTGGACAGCGGACGACTGCCGGTCTCCCTACGCCACTTAAGCCAAGCGACGTAGCTCATCCGCTCGGGATAGGGAACGTCACCACCTTCGATCGCCTCGAGGAGGGTGACGCCCTCGGCCTGACCTGCAACCTCTGCGGACATCGCCGCGCCTTGGTTAGCAGGCCGCAGGCGTGGCACACGAAGCGCCGCGCCTTGGTTAACAGGCCGCAAGCGTGGCACACAGTCCACGCGTCCAGGTCACGGACCGCGACAGACAAGCAAAGCAATGCTTGCCCACTCGGGCCGTAGGCACAAGAGCTGTACGTTTCCCAGAACAGCCCCCAATTGTGAAGTCGACCAGCACTGGACTTGCACTAAGCCAATGCAATCACAGCCCGGTCACGCTGTTTTACGACTTCGCGAGTTCAAGCACTTGTGCAGCTACGCCTGAGTGCGTCCGGTCGGACCGCACAGCAACCTAAGAGCTACTGTACGAAACTACCGTGCTCAAAGGCACAAGCTCGGTACTTGAGCCAAAACATTGGCATTGTTACGAATTGCAAAACTACGCATGCAAAGGAAAACTACTACAGTACTGGCCCTGGCAGCTTTGCACATGCAGCGTGCGTGCATAGACCTGCTCACACTTTATATCACATATATATATATATATATATATGCATATATCATGCACAAAGATATGTACATATGTATATATATATATACAACAACCTCGAGGCACCCCTAAACCTGAACCCTAAACCCTCGTGGAGGGGGTGCCTTGGGCAGCTCGGAGGGGTTTAGGGTTTGGGGTTTTCCTTCTCGCCGCTTATATAAGGTTTAGGGTTTAGGGTTTTTCTGTCTTGCCTACCTGTCGGGGGTAGGGTCTAGGGTTTAGGGTATGGGGTTTCGTTTTGTAGGGTCTCTCTCTGTTTGGGGTTTAGGGTTGAGGGTTTCTTCAGTTTTTTTTTGGCTGCTGCTGCTCGAGATCTGTGCCAGCAATCCAGTTTTCAGTCCCGGGCTACAGCTAGATAGGAATATAGGAAATGTCCCCCAAGAACAAGGGCGAGAATGGAGGAAAGCCAGCAAAGGTCCAGGCCATTGCTGTTCCGGAGGATAGCAGTGAAATCCGGGGCAGCATCAGCAGGATGCTGGGTTTCCTGAAGTACCGAGCCGACCCGGAGAAGAATAAGAAGGGCGAAGGGCGAGAGGAAGCTGTCCAGGTCCTGGAGGCACTTCTTCTTTAGAATGTTGCTCTTTGCGTGCATTTTCAGTTGCTGATATCCACATTGAAGCCTGCAGGCCTACAAGAAGATCCAAGACAAGGATCGAAGGGACTTCTTGAGCAACTACCACAAGTTCGGCATTAAGAACCTCCAGTGGTTGGCCTCCTTTTCGGTTACCAGCACTCGTGCAGAGACTGAGGAGGATCAGACCAACAAGGGGATGATGACGATGCCATCAGGCACAATTTGATTTTTTTTACATAGCTAGGCCTTCTTTGATTTTGTGATTTCACAACATGATCCACTGAGGGCTCGAATCTTTCAGATGAATGGCCTTCAGGTCTCGGACGTTTCGGAGCCAAGGCGACAGGAGGTCCTCGAGGCACTCCTGAAGGAGAGCGAGGATTTCTACAAGCACACAAGGTGCCAGCAAGTCCATGCCACCATTCCGGAGCTCAGCCGATATTTCTATCGGTCCATGCTTGAAAGCAAGGACAGTGTGAAGCTGGAGGATACCACGAGCTTCAGCTTGGATGCCCAGCTCACTGGTGCCCAGTTCAAGGCCCTCAAAGACTCGAACACGGTGGAGATCAAGGTTGAGTTCCCACTGAAAGCCGAGCTGAAGAATCTCCTGAAGACAGCCCAGTCAGCTGTGAAGAAGCTGGAGGCCAAGAAGAGCTCGTGGATCCCAAACACAGGAGTGCACCACTCCCGAAGCCTAGCTCACCCAGCCCCTTACCCTTTTCGTTAGGGCGGTGGCCTGGTCAAGGTGCTCAGAAGCATTCTCCACGAAAAGCTTCAGGTTCTCTATCTCCTTGCCACACTGCTTCTCGTCCATACCGTCGGCCTTCTGCTGCAGAAGGACCACCACCTTCTTGAGGTCCTTGACGAATGCTTCGAGCTCAGCCACGGGCTGGACAAGGTCCTTCTTCTTGGACTTGAGCTTGTTGTCTGCCTCGACCTGGAACACCAGCCCATCAAGCTCAAGAAGGCTGTTTTGGGCCTTTGTGCAAACTTGGGCCAAGCCAAGGATCCTGAGATGCATCGCAACTGTCATGCTCACAGAAGCTTCGTTTGGATAGCTGGTGCCAGAGTCAAAAAAACAGACATGCTTTTTTTTGCAGACCATTGCAAGCTTCTGGCCGATGCAGCTTGCCCATATGCCACTTGCTGCTGCTGTTCTCTGAGCAGCCGTGTATAAGCCTGAGGCTCCGGACTCTAGGATGGGCAGCCTGAGTTTTGCTAAGTACTGTTCAGCCTGAGTTTTGCTAAGTTTTTTCCGCCTGATTGTCTGCCATGCTGTCCAAGAACAAGAGAGGCTACCTGCAGGACAAAGTTCCTTTTGCAAAGAGATTCCGGAAGAATCTTGGCGATGCTTTCTTGGGGGGGCAGCTGACTGGCAAAAGAACTGCTTCCTTGTTTCAGGATGCTGAGGCAGCCGGTGCCAGAGGAATCGACGACTTGGCAAGGATTGGCGACCACAATGCCAACAGATCCCTGAAAAGAAGATTGCTTATAGCCACAACAACTTTTCGGATACAAGTATAAATCCCAATGTACGTGTATAGCATCTGACGAATATAAAAGCTGAATCCCATGCGGATAAACAAAGCACCCTTGTGGTCTCATTCAACAGAATAGACGAATGCTCAACTTATTCACTTGGGCGCGATTGTTCTTTTTTTTTTCTTCCGATGGCAATGCCACAAGTCGGGAGAATCCAAAAGCCCTCCCAGGGCCTCCAAGGTCACGCATCACCGTACACGAGTGAGCGCGCCTTAGACATCCCCGGGTGGGTGGGTGGGGAAAGAATTTTTCAGGCTCTCTGTCTATCTCAAATGCTTCCAGCCCACAGCTCGAGAATGCAAAAGAGTTCAAAGTGCAGAGCCTTGCCTCAAGGTTGAAAAATTCTCAATCTCTTAAAAATCATGATACTCGCAAGTTCCCCAAATTCTGCAAGCGGCGTCATGACGAGCAAATGTTAAAACCATGACGCACGCAAGTTGCCACACGAGGGAAGTAGCTTCCAAGGTTACAAAGATCCGAAAAGCGAGTTTCAAAAGTGACCAGACAAACTTTTGAAACATTGTGTGTCTATAAAGCTATAGGAGACGAGTCTCCAATAAAGCTTATAGCCACAACAACTTTTCGGATACAAGTATAAATCCCAATGTACGTGTATAGCATCTGACGAATATAAAAGCTGAATCCCATGCGGATAAACAAAGCACCCTTGTGGCCTCATTCAACAGAATAGACGAATGCTCAACTTATTCACTTGGGCGCGATTGTTCTTTTTTTTTCTTCCGATGGCAATGCCACAAGTCGGGAGAATCCAAAAGCCCTCCCAGGGCCTCCAAGGTCACGCATCACCGTACACGAGTGAGCGCGCCTTAGACATCCCTCTTCAACTCAAGCGGGCTCAGGAGTTCGCCTGACATGCAGCATGAAGGGTGATCACGAGAGCAGGTGCCCCAGAAAGGAAAGTTTGACGAGCCCCTTGAGGGAGCGTCCGAAGGATTGCTAGCACTTGGCACACGTGCTATCCAACCAATCATGGGCACTGCATCAGCCCGCTCAAACTCGACAAGCAGTGATCGCCACACAGTGTCCCTGGATGTCCCACTCACACAAGCGGCGTGAACACCGGAGTGGTCCACGAAAAACAAGGCCCTTGAGGAATCTAAGTAAGACCCCCATAGCCGCCTGGCTGCGACTACTGCAAATAACTCAACGGGTCCAATCAAAATGGCGCTTGCCGGCATTGCTCCACTTTTGAACAAGAGTGGCGGGCATCCTGCACGCGAAGAAGCGAGTGTTCCAACTTCCCTCCTGATTGTGGTAGAGGATGCCCCCTATGGTGCAGACAGGAAGGCCGTCCTCAAACTCGCATGCCCCATCGGTAAAGACGCAAGCACACCCTCTCGGTATCGCCGTGGGGATGGCCCGAGGAGGGCCCGAAACCAAGCGCTGCTTAAGATTTCGAAAAGCATCGCACTCGAACTTGCCAAGACGCAACTCCCCATTTGAGGAGCACAGGGACCTAAGCTCCATAAGGGCTAAACGCCCCAACCTCCCCAACAGCTGGCCCTCCATGAACTGAATGCGTCCGAACAAAGATGCGACCTCGGAGGCCTTAAGAAAACCCTTGTCAAGCACTTGGTCAATGGAGGCCGACATCTCGGTGCACTTGTCCTCGCGATTTGCAACTCTGACATGCTTAAGGGTGGGGTCAGACAGGTCTAGGGTGACACCCAAGAGGTTCGCAGCAGGAGCGAAGTCTTCCTCCTTGTCAGCAGCACGAGTAAAGCCGAGAAGGGACAGGATGTTATGCACGGTCTTATCACAACTCCCGGCAAGTGCAGACAACTCCAGTATGGGATAGTCATCGAAGTAGTTGCTTGTCATGACCCAAGCTTCCTGCAGAATTCTCTGAAGAAGACGGGCCACCCTGTTGAAGGCCGTGACGCTGGCGGACGCGCCGAATGGCAACACCTTTGAAACATACCCCACCACTCGCGAATCAGAAGGCCTACGCAAGCTCACGACACACAGGCGGTGATCCGACGGGTGAAGGGGAAGCTGCTTGTAGGCGGACTTAAGATCCACCGTTTTCACAAGCGGGCGTGCCCGAGAGGTGTTGGAAGCCCAGAACGGGTGAAGTGGACCAGAGATCACTTCTCCCGTGGAGAGTGGCACATGCACAGAGCCTCTGCAAATCAAGGCGCGCATGATGAAGGCTGCAGTCCAAACAACCTCGTCGATGGCCCGGAGCGTGAGCTTGTCGCAAGGAGCGAAGGCACTGTTGACCCCATTTTCGGCCAAGTCATCGATGGGCCTTAGTTTCCCTCTTTGCTCCACTGCAAATCGACGGGCAGGGACCCATGAGCCCTTGAAGTAGTCTTCGAGTTCGTCCCAGGACCGAGCTGGGTCCAGCCACCCCTTTTCCGAAAACTCAGCATGCGTGATGTCGAAAAGATCTTGCTCATGAGGATTTGCCGGGCTTTGGGCTATCTTATCCCACAAGAGTGGCTTCAGGACCTCAGCCTGTTCCATCAAGCCGTCCACAGTCAGCTCCGCCGGTTTAGGGTCCAAAGGAAAGACACCGCTTGGCTTTTCCTCCCCGTGAGGTCATGGTGCAAGTGCTCATCGGGCCAATCCAAGGATTTGGCAATCCTATCAAGGAGGAGGAGCTTCTTACCTCTTACCACACTTGCCACGGAAGGGTGGAGGGACGCGTGCAGTTGTTCCTCGCGCCCCTCCAACTCCTGAGCCCACTTCCTCCAGGTGAGGTAGAGGTCCAACCTGCGTCTAACAACAGTCAAAGGACCATCGAGGAGCACCCTGGCGAGAACGGTCAAGGCCTGGTCAGGTAGGGCTGTGGCTACGTCAAAGGGGTGTGTTAGGGTAAGGGAAAGCTTGGCAAACTGCAAGGGGTCCCTGTACACACCACAAGTGATTGAGGCCACAGCAGAGTGGCCAGCCAGCAAGACCTGATCTGCCAGCTTTCTGTCGGGTCGAGGGCGCTTCGGGAAAACCACCCCCCCTTCAAAATTAACCCGGAGGACCTTAGAACCGACAGGCACGGGGCCCAAAGCAGCACACAAACAGTTTTTGTCATCGAGCGCAGGCAACTGGCCGGACGGGAGGGGGACAGTGACCTGGTAAGGGTACTCATCGATCAAGACAACAGCCTTAGAAGTGCGCGGTTGCTTGTGTGTGGCCGTTCGGGCCGACTCATTTGACGGAAGCATACCGAGTGCAAAACACCTCGGGATACTCGGCTTCATCGGCAGTTGAGAAATCCCCGGAAGGAAAAAAAAAACCCCAAGGGCGGTGAGGGTGTGAGTTGTCGCACTGGCGGGCAAGGGCGGACAACTCGGGCAGAGAGGTCCACAGCTCCTGATGCTTAGCGCGCGCGCCCCCGTGCATGCATGCGTCATAAGGCACAACAGAACAACGAGGACGCAAGTCCCGGAACTCAGGCAGCAACCACATGTAGGAGCGAGCAGGGTTCTCCACGCAGAAGTGAGTATGGGGCGCCTCCTCAAGCAGCCAAGCACAGAAGCGCGCAGCCCGGCGATATATCGAGTTAGCAGAATCGACCTTGGCCTGCCATGAGGGAGATAGGCCGGGCAGCCCCGCAGGGAAGGCCTCGCTGCGAAGGACGGGCGGGGATGGCTGCCCTTTGATCGGGATTTCGCGTGCCCGCGAGGCTGTGCCGCAGGGAGGCGCAACGTGAATGAGGAAGACCTGTCGGGCCTGCACAAGCCGGCGAAGGTGGAGATAGCAAATCTGCAGCTATACTCTCCTGAAAAATATATAGAGAAGGCACCGAAATATGCAACAGGACATGCACACTCGATCAAGCCTTTGGTCACGAGGTCAGCACGGGCAGAGAGTTCTTTGCTCGAAACTTGTCCAAGACCTGCTCCGAAGAGCTCTTGGGGGTGTTCCAGCCACCCTTTGCCCGAACCATAGCTGCAGCTGCCCCTCCAAAGTCCTCATCTCTGTAACACCAAAGTTCCTTAGGATTGGTGTCTGAAGCAGCCAAATGCATGAACACGTGAAGCTTCGGCTTGGGCCGCCAATGGATGCCATCTGCAAGAAAATCTTTCAAGGCAACATACTGCAGGGCAAACTTCTTAGCAGCATCCTCCAGCAAATAAGGCATGTAGGGCTCAATGTTCAGTGCATTGTAAGCCTCCAGGAGCCAGTGGATTACAGCTATGGTGGCCTCCTCGACCGGAACACTGCTGTCCAGATGTTGATGACACAGCTCTGCCAAAATGGGGACAAGTCTTCGAACCTCAGCTCCTTTAGCCTTCAGCTTTGGGGGGCTAGAAGCATCTTTTCGAATCATGGTCTGGGTCAAAGTCGCTAGCGTATCCTGGTCGACACCATGCCTTTTATAGGCAGCACGAATGAGCAAAAACAATGTGGCCAGCCTGTCTTTGATGTTGTCTCCTTCCATCTTTTCCTGGAGTTGCCACAGAATGTTCCCACAAGTATCGGCGGCTATGCCCAAGTCGACTATGTGCAGCCAATCAAGCCTCACCGCAGACAAAGTGAAGCCTGGAAAGGCCCAAACGGGAGAAATTGGCCGAGCCTCCCGAAAAAATCGCTCCATAAATGACCATTGTGAAAAAAATGCTTGTCTCCAGCTGGCAGTGGAGTGCACCTGGCCAACGTCTTCTGGCTTGGCGGGGCATTTGAAGCAGATTCCAGCCTTTTCATTGTGGGCAGGCAAACCCAGCAAGTCCTTCATCATCTTCCAATCGCCCCTAAACTGAGTGAGCAGAGCTGTTGGGAGGTCACTTCCAGAAAGTCTCTGTCGAAACTTTTCCTTGTGAGGAAGGAAGGGGCTGTTGTCATGTCGAGTACTGGGGGCTTTCCCAAGGCCAAGGCTCGGAATGACCAAGCAATCACTGCCATCATCTCATGCAGTGTTACCTGCTTCACTTGGAAGCTTTTCTTGATTGCACAGATCGGAAAACGGTAGCCTGGCACGGATGGCATGGCAAGTGCCACGATGTCGAGGGACTCACTGCGATCCCAATTGCACGGAACTCCATCACTCCACAGGCTTAGTGGAAAAATGCTTTCGGATCCTGTGGAGGCTGGCAGGCTGCAGCATGTGCTGCCCTGATGCAGTGATCTTCCCTGGACACTGCTTGCCCCAAAATAAATGCTGGGTCACCAAACTCAAACAGCTTAAGCAAAATCTCATGGGGCAGGAGGAAAGGGATGCTGGCCTTCTCCTCCTGTTGCTTCTTATTGTTGAAGACAGTGATGTCGGCCCAATACAGCTTGGGCCAGTGGCTCTCCCTGAGCTTTATTGGAGACTCGTCTCCTATAGCTTTATAGACACACAATGTTTCAAAAGTTGTCTGGTCACTTTTGAAACTCGCTTTTCGGATCTTTGTAACCTTGGAAGCTACTTCCCTCGTGTGGCAACTTGCGTGCATCATGGTTTTAACATTTGCTCGTCATGACGCCGCTTGCAGAATTTGGGGAACTTGCGAGTATCATGATTTTTAAGAGATTGAGAATTTTTCAACCTTGAGGCAAGGCTCTGCACTTTGAACTCTTTTGCATTCTCGAGCTGTGGGCTGGAAGCATTTGAGATAGACAGAGAGCCTGAAAAATTCTTTCCTGGGCCCAGTTCTTGCGTAACCTTGTGGGTCCTCAACAGGTTCTTCCTTTCCAAACGGGCCCCCTCCGAACAAGTGCCCTTAGGGCCCGTGCAAGCCACCCCGCGGGGGTGGCGGATGCTTTTCTCCCCCAGTGGGAGCAGCGAGTCCGGGGCTTCTGAGCCTCTCGAGCCTCCTGTGCTTGCACCTTTTGTTGCACTTCGCTTGCGCCCACGTTCTTTCTACTTTGAGCGCCTTCTTGAATACTCCCAGGAAGCCCCCAGTCTGCTGACGTACATCTTTGAGAGTAACCTCCGAGGTGTTTTGCTCAGCCGCTCCGACGGAGCCCGTGTGCTCCTCTTTCTCCCTCCAGGTTCCTGGGCTGCCCTCGTGGCTGCCGCGCACTGGCCTCATACTTGTCTGCGGATTCTTTTGCCGCTGGCTTCTTGAGTTCTGCTTGGCCCTCAGCGCTTCCTAGTCCTTTTTGGTTGATTAGGGGCTTTTCTTGGGACAATGAAGCGCAACCTTGAAGAGGCCTACGAACAACACCTCGAGTACCTCCTTAAAGGGTCCAAAACCCGGTTTGTGCAGCCCTGGGACAGGTCCCAGATTCTCAACCCACCAAGCATTCTGCCAGGCCTTCCTCCCTACCAACGGTGGGGCGTCGGGCTCCCGAGTGCAGCCTTGGGGTCCTCTGCTCCCCCAACACCTTCTGTGCCGCCCCCCGCGCCCAGTGTTCCGTTTGCAAAGTCCAAAGGGATCCCTTGGCATGCTAAGCAGACAGAAAGCAGATCCGCTGCCATTGCCAAATGGAGTGGTAATGCTGTCACACGGCGAGCACTTCGGGGTCGTGGAGAGGGTTGCGGTGGATGCTTCCGGTGGTAAACCTCAGCAGTTGTCTTCGGTTCTACTTGACATTTTTGCTTTGAAGGCGAGCGCTACCCTGCATGGCCGAGCGGGGCCAATCCTCAGGTACTTGAAGTTCTGTAAAAAGGAAGGCCAGCCGCCTTTCCCATTCAGGGAAGACCTCTTGTACCGCTTCGTCAAGGAGTACTGCGCCAGGCAAGCCCCCACTTTCGCTCGCAGCTTTCTGAGTTCGGTGGCTTTCTGTCGGCATGTTCTTGAATTCAGACCCGACTGCACAAGGTCAGGGATGTTCACGCCGGAGCGCCCGACTGCACCAGAGGCCCTCCCGGACGACGTTTCAGAGTCAACAGAAGGCAGTGAAGACGAGGAGCACCCAGACTTGGAGGAGGAGGAGCAGGCCGTCAACGAGCTTGTTGGTCCGTGGCAGCCCGAGCCCGGCTTGAGGGAACGGCTGGATGAGGCAGAGGTCTTTCGTCACCGAGTCAGTCGCTTCATCCATGTTGTTTCGTCGGAGGAGGGCACTATGTTTCGCTGCGGCCGAGCGATCACTTCGTCATATTCTAAGTGCGATGATATACCGCAAGTTTTGTATCCGTTTTGCAAGCAGTGTTATCCAAGATCTTCTGAGGGACCAGTGTGATGGATCGCAGACTTGGGGCGCCTTTTGGGTGATGCCAGGGCTTGCGAACCACCCCTGGCAGGAGGAGAGGGCCTGGGGCGTCTTTGACGATGCCAGGCCCGTGCTCAGGGGCGCAAAGGCGATGCCGAGCCAAACGTGTTCTTTTTGCCGAGAAAAAGAACGCAAGCTTACAGAGATGGCAAGGTGAGCACCCGTCCGAGTTTTGACAGTCATGCTGGATGTGTGCGGTGGGTTTCAGCAGCCGAGTGAGCACGTTTTGGCTTGATTCCGTCAGGTGCAGCTAGGAGGATGGCTGCCTCTTACTCGGACAGTCAGAGTGTTTTCAATGCGCGGGTAGATGCCAGCGGACTCACAAAGGAGGATGCCACAAAAATCAAAGCCGCGGTATCTTCACTGAGACAGTTGGCGTTCATCTCCAGCTTCACCCCAGGTCAGGCCGATGAATCCCCGCTGATGGCCGCACTGAAGCTCATGCTTGGAAGGGATGCGGAACTTGGTGTCCAGGCCAGCTTCCGAGCTCTGTACCACGAGTCCTACGCCGTCGTCACTTCTGAGCTGCGCCAAAAGATCGAGAAGTCCGAAGAGCCAGCAAGCAGGCGCCTGACACAACCCGAGCGAGCCGAGAGGTTCGAGAAGCAGAAAAAGAAGCTCGTTGGAGTTTCCATCAAGGGCTTGAGCGAACCTAGCGAAGCCTTGGTAGACAGGGCCGTGGCTTGCTATGAAAACAACGAGCTTCGCTATCTGTCTTGGGAAATATGTACTTCAAGAGAGCAAGAAGTGGGCTCAGACCGACGCCGTGACACCCGCTTCACCGTCGACGAGCACACCGGGCGTCTGAAGGTTGAAAACAAGGATGCGGAACAGAAAGCGGTCACATCTTCCGAGGTTCATGTCATGCAGGCTTTGCAGCGCCGTTCCCTTGCCATGGACCAAGCCAACCTCGTCGAGTACGCGACCATGCAGCAGTGGAGTGATCGCTTGATGCGTGCACGCATGCAGGAAGCCCCAGCTGGGTATGTTCGGCCAACCTGGGCTCAACTCGTAGCTGCAGACAAGAAGCTTTTCAGCGAGTTGCGAGACCTGACCCGTGACGGAGTGCAATCCTCTGGTGGAGCCAGGCCCTTGGACACACACATCTTCCGACTGTCATGAATTCTTTCGATGTCGTGTGCTTGATGCAGCCGCTTCCTTCTGCTTCGTCTCGATCCCTTGATGAAGGCAAGGAGTTGGAGCGACCCGAGCGCCCAGGCCCCTACGGCCCCCGCAAGCCTCGCAATCCCAAGGGCCAGGGCAAGGGCAAAGGAAAGACCAAAGCTCCCGGGATGCCAGCGCAAATGGTGGCGTGGGGGTGCGTGTCTGCCACGGAGAAAGGAAATCCGTACTGCTACGGATTCCAGCTCGGCACTTGTGCCAATGAGGTCAAGAACAATGCGTGCCAGAGGGGCCTCCACGCGTGCGCCATCCCGAAGTGTGGGCAGCATGGGCACGGAGCTTCTGCTTGCCCGAAGCGGAGCAAGGCTCAGTCGGAGTGACTAGGGCCCCGATCAGTCGAGTTTGTTGACCCTGGACCCTTGCATTTTGCAGGTCAGGGACAGCCTGTGCAGGATGCCGTTGCGCAACCTTGCAGCAATCTCAAGCTTTCTTCTGGATCGGATGCAGTTTGGCAACCGACCCCCTGTGCAGCGAATGCCGAAGTGCAATCACTGCCGCGCGACAGTCCGAAGCTTTCTGGTGGATCGGATGCTGGCCAGCAACCGAACCTCCAAGCCCTGCGGATCGCTCCCGCGCCTGAGGGCGGGGCGACCCCAAAGCAATCTTCTTCTAGTCCCAAATCTGCCAGCCTCTTGCATGCCATCGAGACCTTCGATTCACTCCCCGATGTTGCTGTTTCACGCAGTCCCCATGCCGTAAGAGATAAGGTTCAGAAGTCCTTCTATTCGGGGATGTACCGCCGAGGCCCCCTTGTCGGCTTGCGATCTTCGGTCGCCCAATTCCCCGAGGCTGTCAAGGTGTTCACCCGGCTGATTGCGGAAGTGTCTCCCACTCATCAGTTCAGCAGCTTTGTTATCCTTGAGGGATCCGAGATGGGAATTCACCGTGACGCCCAAAATGCCTGTCTGCCCAACCTTGTAATCCCCTTGACCCGCTTTGAAGGAGGCGAGCTCGCAGTCGCAGACCCCGAGGGACAAGTGGTCTCTCATGGAGGTCAGTCCTTCCGTGCGCGGCTTTGTGATTTGGGACGGGGTCCCATTGCCTTCAATGCTCAAGGGTTGCAGCATGCAGTGATGCCGTTCAAGGGCCGCCGCCTTGTGTTGATTGCTTATTGCCTCAAAAATGTTGCATCACTTGACAGGGCCTCTTGTCGTGCCTTGCGCGCTTTGGGCTTCCGACTTCTGAAGTCGAACTGCTTGCCTGCGTGCGCGGCTTTTTCTGGCTGGTTCTTAGTAGGGAATGAGGGAATGAGTAGTACCCTATATCATCCCTTAAGGGGTATATATATATATAGAGAGAGAGAGAGAAAGAGAGCCCTAGCTCCCTCATTACCTACTAAGAACCAGGGTTCTTCTTCTGTTTGCCTGCATGCGCGGCTTGGGGGGAGGATTAGGTTTAAGGAAACTGCAAAGACATGCATGTGCAAGAAGATATGCATGGGAATCAGCCTGCAGACGGCTTTCAAGGGTTTCAGGCCCCAGGGTCTCATGACATCTCAGAAGCGGAACCCGAAACCCCAAAACCCGACACCCTAAACCCTATTCTCCAATCCCGAAGGAGGTTTGGGAGAAGTCTTTCGCGCCTTTGGGCAGCGTCAGCAGGGTCTCCTTCGTCTGCCGGTAGTATTCCTGTGGCTTAGCGTAAAAGGTTTTTTGGAGTTTAGGGTTTGTGCTCCAGGGCTTTGAGGGCTTTGGGGGTTCAAGATTGAGCCGAACATGGCACTACCCGAAATAGGAATCCCCCCAATCTCCCCCGCACCCACCCCACCCCAAGACGATAATCCTTGCTCTAGGACTCTAGGAGCCCCAAAAAGGGTACCCGGGTACCCCTTATTTTGGGAAACCCCTGACAAGGTTCATCAAGGACATGGACACCCTACATCCAACAACCCTGCAGCCCTAAAAAACCCTAAACCCTAAACGCTAAACCCTAAACCCTAAACCCTAAACCCTAAACCCTAAAAATCTAAACCCTAAACCCTAAACCCTAAACCCTAAACCCTAAACCCTAAACCCTAAACCCTAAAACCTAGCCAAACAGGAACTCCGAATGAAATCGCTGAACTCACAGGGCTCAAGGAGCCCTCAAGCCTCCAACATCCCATCTCATCCCTCCTGAACTCAGCCTACCCTAAACCCTAAACCCTAAACCCCAAACCCTAAACCCTAAACCCGAAACCCCAAACCCTAAACCCTAAACCTCAAACCTGAAACCCAGAACCGTGGAGAGCAGAAGAAAGAGAAGAGAGAGCGAGAGATGATCGAAACGTCCTACACTTGGCTGCACTTAGGGGGGGGGGGGGGGTTAGGGGTTTAGGGGTTTAGGGGTTTAGGGTTTAGGGGTTTAGGGGTTTAGGGGTTTAGGGGTTTTTAGGGTTTAGGGGTTTTAGGGGTTTCGGGGTTTAGGGGTTAGGGTTTAGGGGTTTAGGGTTTAGGGTTTAGGGGTTTAGGGGTTAGGGGTTTAGGGGTTTAGTTTAGGGTTTAGGGGTTTTTAGGGGTTTAGGGGTTTAGGGTTAGGGGTTTAGGGTTTTTTTAGGGTTTAGGGGTTGGGGGTTTAGGGGTTAGGGGTTTAGGGGTTTAGGGGTTTTAGGGGTTTAGGGGTTTAGGGGTTTAGGGGTTTAGGGGTTTAGGGGTTTAGGGGTTTAGGGGTTTAGGGGTTTAGGGGTTTAGGGGTTTAGGGGTTTAGGGGTTTAGGGGTTTAGGATTTTTCGATTAGATATGAGTTTTTTCGCTGCCTTATTAAGAAACCCAATAAACCCGAAAAGGCTAAGGACCTAAAGTTACAGTAGAGCACCACAAAGTACAGCCCGAAATCCTCATCCTGTATTAAAGCCCCTCATAAGCAAAACCTGGATCCCAAGCTCCAAACCCTGTACTTCCTAAACCTTACACCCTAAAGCGCTAGAACGCCCTAAGTCCTCCAAAGCATTAAAAAAAAGCCTGAAGCCTTAAAAGCCCTGAAAACCCCGAGAACCAAGAGAAAAAAAGAGGATCGGGGGCCTGATACTCCTCGTTGAGGCGGATGCAGGACCACAAGTTCCTGTAGAGGAGCTGTTGAGGCTTTTGAGGAGTCTTACTTTGGCCTTTCAGGGTTTAGGGTTTTGGCTTTAGGGTTTAGGGCTCAATGTCGGATTTAGGAACTCCTGCTTTGGGCTGTAGGGCTTAGGGTTTTTTGCAACAGAACAGCTGGCTTCTTGGGGCCCTAACCCCTAAACCTCTAGATTCTCTCAAATCCAAGTCCCCAAACCTGAAAGCCCTTAAACCCTAACGCCCCCTTAAACACAATCAAAATGAGCTTCAACAACAACTCCAAACTCCCCTGAGAACCTTGAATCCAAAAGCCCTGAAGCCCAAACCCTAAACCCCTAAACCCTGAACCAAACCCTAAACCCTTGAACACTGAAAACCCTAAACCAGACTAAACCCTAAACCCTAAACCCTAAACCCTAAACCCTAAACCCTAAACCCTAAACCCTAAACCCTAAACCCTAAACCCTAAACCCTAAACCCTAAAAACCCTAAACCCTAAAAACCCTAAACCCTAAACCCGCAACCTCTAAAGCCACGGCGCTTGATGAGGACGAGGGGATCCTTCCGCCACAGCGACTCCGACTCTTCGCCCTCGAGGACGCACTCCTGCTCTTACATAGCGTTATTGGGGTTTAGGGTTTAGGGTTTAGGGCTGTGGGTGTAGGGTTTAGGGTTTGGGGTTTAGGGTTTAGGGCTTAGGGCTTAGGGTTCAGGTTTAGGGTTTTGGGTTTTGGGTTTGGGTTTGGGGTTTTTCTGGTTTGGGGCTTCAGAATGCTTGCGGGCTTGCGGCTTCCGGGCACTAGGGCTTTTAGGGCTCAGGGCTTAGGCTTAGGGAGGAGCTGAAGCGGTTGCAATCAGCTGATGGGTTTATGATGGTTTGAGGGGTTTGGGAGTTTCTGGGGTCCATGGAGGCCCTTGAGGTCTGCGGTTTCTGCGCTTTCGCAGCTTACGTTTAGCGACTAAGCAGCTACTCCCTAGACCCGGAGAAATAAACGAAACCCCTGAAACCAAGCCCCCCCCCCCCCAACAAAAAAAAAACGTAAAACAATAAAGGAAAGACAAACAATAAAACAATCAAAATGAAAATACAACCACCCCGTAAGACCCAAAGTCCCTTCTTCAACCCCCCGAGTTTAGGGTTTAGGAAGCCAGAACCCCCTGGTTCTTAGTCATTCCCTACCAAGAACCAGCCAGAGAAGGGGGCCTTGCAGTTGGTGATCATCTGGTTGGTGATCTTGGCGAAAAGGTTGGTCATACGTTCCTGGGCAGATTTTGAAGAGTTTAGGGTTTAGGGTTTAGGGTTTAGGGTTTAGGGTCTAGGGTCTAGGGTTTAGGGTTTAGGGTTTAGGGTTTAGGGTTTAGGGTTTAGGGTTTAGGGTTTAGGGTTTAGGGTTTAGGGTTTAGGGTTTAGCCCTTTGGGGGGTTTCCGCCAAACCCCCAAACCCTAGAACTTCTTGGAACTCTCGGAACCCAAAGCTATCCGGGCCACCGATAGGGTTTTGGGGCTGAGTTTTTACAGAGTTTAAGGGTATAGGTTTCTTTAGGGTCCGGGACAGATCCAGAAGTTTCGACCTCCAGCACTTGTTTGTTGGATGTGTCTGGTGCTTTCGGGTTGGTGTTGATGTGAAACTGGCTTGGTGGGGTACCTGTTTCTGCAGGACATGTTCGCGCTAGCTGATGCCTTGGATCCCGATAGGGTGCCTGTAGTTGGTTCTTTGTGGAGCTGTGGTCTGCACATGTTGTGCTTCTCCTACTTGGCGCCTCAAATGGTTCAGCGCTTCGGGCACATGGCTTCTTGTCCCTAAAGAAACCAAAACCCGCAAAGCCCGCATCCCATCCACTATTCTATGAAAACGCCCGAACCCCTGAACTCAGGTTGTTCTCCCCCTTATAGTATCAGCTACCACACTA